ACTATGTACAAGCATGTTTCACAACATGCATAGCTAAACTTCATGAACTATCCCATGTTCTATAAATAACATCTCACATTTCCCCTCTTCCTCAGCTTTTTGAGGATGTTTATCATTGATGGTGGTAGAGGAAGCTCATTTTAACATAGTTTCTGTTGATCACACAGTAAGGTATCAGAAAATGAACTTCTGTTTTTCTTCAGAACACTAAAATTTCCCACACAGAAACGGGTCAATGTATTAGATTGGAAAGAGTTTGAGGTAGGAGTCAATAAATGCAGAAACTTTCTTTCTAACCTCTTCCATTTGGTATAATGTTACCAGCACAGCCTTTGGAGTCAGACAGGCCTTCCTGGCCATATTATATTTGACAAGTTACCTGGACACTTTGAGCCCAAGAGTCTCCAAAATGGAATTCTGTACACATGTGGGGACATCTCTCAGGAAGTGGAGCAGTTAGCTCCCTACTGATAGTCCAAGAAGACTGCGGTGATACCCTACTTTTAGTTCACAGTTACATGTTTGAGAAAGTTCGTTATAGGCCCTTTCAGAGATCTTGGCAAATCTTTGCTTAAGCTAGGAATTTTCAGATGTCCCCACAAAGAGATAACAGCAAAGGTACAGATATCAGCTCACACTTAAAAAGTGGCTTGGCATTCTAAAGACATCTGGGAAAAGGCTAATATATGAAAGAAGTCAAATCTGATCAAGGTGGGCGACTGCTGTTTGCTACAGATGACTAAACCTCTCAGATTTTTTTTAAGGTAGGGGCTACTTCCCCACCCCCTGCATCATTGGAATATTTAATTTATTCAAGAATAAAGAAGCAGCTATGTCCTAATGTTCATTCAATTTTAGGATAACCACAAAGGTTTCATGAATGCGAAATGCTAGTTACACAAATATGAAATGGATCTGTGATGAGAATACTGGATACATGATATAATAAAGTCCCAAAGGTATTTCACCTGGGACCTTAGCTTTCCTTCTAGAACATCAGCAAACAGATCAAAATTAATGTAGCATACCATACAATCTGCCATATAGCCTCTCTAGTCAGATAATTTTTTTCTTCATTATATAAAACCTAATTAGCTAAAGGGCAATTCAAATGAAACTTTTATTTGGGGGATTTAGAAGTATTAAAGAAAAGGGAAAAAAACAAACAAACACTGCAGCTCTCTGGATAGCATGAACAAGATTACTAATAACCCTTGAGGGGGGAAATGATTAACCTTGTTATTTTCCTCACAGTTCAGGTTTCTACAGTAAATGGGTACCGAACAAAAAATATTTGGATGCTGTATGGAAAGCAATTTTTATAAGGTCTCCAACTGGCATCAAATGTTTTCAAGTATGAAAACATCTCTGGGCTTTCTCAACAGGCTGATGGATCCCTGCAGGTACCACTTCCCTTTTTAAATGGCCCTACCAATTAAATCGAATTAGAGATGAATTTTTAACTCTGTGATGAAGGCAATGCTCACTATAAGATAAAGCAGGAAAGTGGAATATTTATCCTAAGTAAATTGTTATTTCAAATTGAATAGCTGAAGAGGAGGAGACAGCCAAATGCTTTCATCAATATTTTACACTTTATAAAACATGATGTCAATCATTTGAAGGTAATTTAAGGAAACAATGTACACTTGGGTTCATAAAATGTCAACATACATCTTTTCTTTTGTTGCTAGTCTAAGAAATGGTTTTGTTTATTAAAAACTTTTCAAGTTTTTCAAGTTGAGTTTCCTGACATGAGTTTTCAGTGGGTGATCTACCTTTATTTAACCTCTGACATTTTTATCTTTAACCTCCATCACTTGCATTTTAGGTGATAATCCCTCACACAAAGCTACTTTGCACATTAGGCCAACTCTTGTTATTCTAATTACCATTTTTTAAAATAATATACTGTTTAGAATAATTTGTGAAATCACTTGCTTTTCAGGACTAAAGATCAGATAATACATGTTATAGTGATTAGTTTATCACTTGAACAAAAACACCCACACCAAATCAAATATTAATTTGGATCATCAGCATCAACAAATATTCACTTGGATAAAATTGTGAATGTTTACTTATAAGTGCATGATACATTTTACATTGAAAAAATGAAACTTGAATGAATTACTACTGCATCAAGTAAAGAAAAGACAGAGCTCATAGGCTCAAATGGGTACAGATTTATTTTGGGACTCATTAATTGCTGACAATACCACCAATAATTTTTCAGCCACAGCCAAAGCACATCAAAATGACTGAGTTTTAAATCAAGTACCTTTGGGATGATTGGGAAATCTATTTCCTAATAGACAACAGCAGGTACAAATGACCTTAATGGGAAATCTCTTTCAAAATCACTTTTAGCAGATGATCGGAAAGGATGACCACTCTGTCCATGCATTTGAACCTTAATATAGGTGTTGACAGTTTGAAATCTATACTGAAACTTATCAGGCCTCCAAAATCTTTAATCACCGTGTATACAGCAAATGTATGTGAACTTATGGTTACATACATCAATAATTTATGTCACAATATACATCATTCATTGTTCCTGATGATGGGAATGTTATGATTGTTATATCTATTATCATGGCATCTTTCTATATACTTGGTGGAATTATGTTCATTCATTTCTTCCTTGGGATAAAGGGAAAAGCCCTGGTAAATGCCCAAACTTAGTTGAAAATCCAAGCGGATCTCTCTTTTCCAGCTTCTACCTTGAAAAGCCCATTTCTATGCCATCTTGAACAGGCAGGGAGTCTTCTATGCATGAATTCTTGCCCACTGGAGAGTAAAGGAATCCACCATTGCACACAGAGAACATCTTATAAGTCCTTATAAGGAATGTGTAAATGCCACTGAAGCAGGCGAGAAGATAAAATCATGTTTGATGGTTTTATGGCAAATCTCTTCACCTTAAAGCCAGGCAATAAGCAAGCTAGCCATATGTGATGCTGGGTGACCCCTGGAAGTGCTTATACCATTTGCCTGAGAAATCTGAGGAAACACCCATTGCACTCCTAGCAGAACAGCCAGAGGCATCATGAAAACAGAGAATAAGCTATCACTTTGCTTGTTAGAGGGTTTTGGTTAGATATTAAGGAGTTAAATTTTCCTAGTTTCCTGAATAAAGGTTAATACATTTTCCAAAGGCACAACAAAGCATCCTTTCAGGTCACCACTGATTTTAAAATAAAACAAAGCAAAACAAAACTGGAATTTCCCGATTCAGTGTGTAAAAGGTCAACATCTGCTGATGCTCAAAGATGGGGCATGTGGTGGAGGCGGCCGAATGAGATGTCAAGTGAGCAAAACATTCAGAAATTCCATGCAACACACGATTGACACTTGGAACAGAAACACACCCCAACGCCAAAGAACTACTTTCCGTTCATCCATTTCTGAACCCTTTGACAGGTCAGATCATCACCGCAGCCTCAATTATCTGCCTCAGCTTGCTTCCTTCGGTCCCTTTTGCTTCAAAATGCATGTGCAAATACAACTGTCAAGGCCTGAAAGGAGCACCTTGTGGCGTATTTGTGTAGATAGGCAAATGCCAAGGGAGATACTACAGCAGAAAAATTAGACTATTAGAACTGAAGTTTTCACTTGCAAGTTTGTAGCACTGATGTCATTTCAACAAGATCACAAAGAGGAAGCTGCAGCATTGGGCTGGTATCTAAATGAATGTGAACACTCGTTCTATTTCTATTTACAAAGTGGCTGATGTTCATTGCATTTAACATGTCTAGTGATTAATAAATCTGTGTGTAGTCCTATTCACAAGCTTAAGTAAACTGGGTTGATTTAAAAAATGGAAGTCCTGACTGTGCATTTATAAGAGGCAGGAAGTTAATTTATACAAATTATGAGGGTATTGCTTTTTAAGTGGCCCTGTTGTGGCCCAGCATTTATGACAAAGACTAGGTTAAACTCTAGTGAAAATGTTTCTTTTCACTTATCAGTACTTTATTTCAAATCACTTATTCAGTAGCTATTCAAAGGTTTTAACCATCAGAGAGAAAGGGAACAATATTTAAAAATATGTGAGATTTGGCTCTGAAAAGTTATGGGGCACTTCCTTAGTGAGCATTTCAAGCTTGGTGTTGGGGTGTCAGTGTTTTAAATGTAAAGAGGGAGCTATAGCCTGGTTCTCCCATGGTATCTGATAGAATGTCTTTGTAAAGGTACTACAGAAATGTTCAACAGAATGTTGGAGAGAGACTTCTCTTTTCAATTGCTGATATCTCTACTAATACATTCCTTGCACAAATTTCTAGTAGCCCCATTCCTAAATTTTGCATGTACTTTTTTATATCACTTCTCTACCAAACTTGAACCTAAGTAGTCAGGAAAATATGGATCATTGTATTTTAGGAGGGTGCAATGGACATATTGATTATTTTCTTTCCTTCATTTCTCCAGAAAGACTAATGATCACAAACTGACCTCTTTCAGGCCTTCACAAAGGCTAAACTTTAATGCATTAATAAAGTTCCTTCTCCCTAGTTTCATAGTGATTTCTTTGGGTTAATGAATATGCCTAAAGCATTCATTGGCATTCATTCTCTGCTTTCCCAAATTATGGGAGAAATCCATATATGGTCCTTGGGAGAGAGTTCAATTTGTTTGCTGGTTACTAAGTATTGGTAAATAGCATGTTCATAGGTAAATGTTCATATTTTTGCTAAATGAGTTATAGTTATGTAAGTAATTGTACCTCTGTAAAGGGAGCCTTCATAAAAAATAGTCAGAAAAGCTGTAGCACTGCCATATCCATGGAGGAATTCTACATAGATAACTATTTTATCTGTCCTCTCACCATATCTGTGCAGAGAACAAACACAACAATTCAATTCACAAAGGAAATACTCTCTTACATCAGAAATGGACACTGGGAAAATAGATCTGAGGAGCTGAACAACAAAGCCAAGCTAGCCTAGACTTGGTTTGTGATTTTTTGTTGTTGTTTTTTTTTTGTTTTTACTTACTACCAATACTGGAAATACTGGGGATACCTGGAGAGAAAGAAAACAATAAAGAAAAGCTGTTAGACATTTATTAGTAAAGGATATCTTAAACATCATATAAAAATCTCAGAAGTTTAAACACTTGATAACATTCGTATCATCAGAAAATTAACACACAAAAAACCCAAACATATATCCAACCACTGAAACCATTTTGCTTATTCTAGAATTCTAACTCATCAGAGTTGGGAAATCAGCATTCAACTTTAACAGCTGGTTCAAGACAGCTTCATGATATCGAACATTTTGTGTTTACTTATAAGGTTAATGAACATTTGTATGTGGTTCAAAACAGACACTAAGCTAGGCTTGTGTTCTGGGCACCGAGCACCAAGTATATAATATATATGCCTGTGCAAATATATCTACATAATGCCGTCTATCTCTTCAAATGTGTTCAGATGCGTGTGTTAGCAGTTGAAAGTCACTTGTCGTTTTATTTGATTAACTACATATAACCATCATTTCCAATCCTCTTTTACTCGTCAGATATGTGGATTAAACTCTTTAACAGAAAGTAAATTGAGCAGAATGCAGAATAATTCAAGAATACATTAGGTTGTGTTCACATCGACCATGGGCTTCATCAATTTTTCAGCTTCTGCTTTCATTGCCAAGCTCTGCTAAGGTGGTGGAACCATTTCAGAATGTGACTGAAGCTGTTATAAATGTGGACATGGATTTAGTTGTATCCAGATGAAAACTCTTAGCCAAGATCAGGGGCACAAGAGCCAGGCTGTCTCCGATTGAGGCTTTGCTCTTACCCTCATTGACTGTGACTTTGGGACAAGTTGCTTATATTCTCTGTGGCTGTTTTCCACCTCTTAGAGTTGTTGCAAGGATTACATATATATATTATATATAATATACATAATATATGTATTATATATAATTGAAATGCTAAAAGCATTGAGCAGGTAGTATGTGCAATAATCAACAATTTTTGCTATGATTACTATTATTGATTTAGTTGGTTCATCAAAGAAGCAACACCATAATAGACACTATAAATAATAGTCAAGGATTTATATCTTTTCCACCAAATCCAGGTAGTGGTGTGGGTGAGAGCATGAGTTGGGAATAAGATAGAACTTAGTGAGAGTCATGCTTTGAAACTAACTAGCTGGATGATTTCATGTAAGTTCCCAGCCTCTCTACGCCTGTTTCCTCATCTGAAAGGGCTAATAATATCTACTGCACAGGGCTGCTGTGAGAATCGAAATGAGAAAATCCATAAAAATGTCTGACACATGGTACACAGTCAATAAATGATAACTGTTAATGAGCTGTTCAGACTTGTTCTCCACATCACTAAAGTGTACTAACAGGTGGTAAATGTAGGAATCATTAACTTTCTATTTCAGCATTTAATCTTTGAACAACTGCCCTCTGCTTATCTTAACTAATCACTGTACCTTACTCAGAGATTTATAGCTTTGTATTATTTAAAACTGAGAGCTATTTTCCTATTTCTTAGTAGGGAGGGGAGAAGGAGAAATTAAATCTTACCATGTTTAAAAAAAACCTGGGAGGAATGAAATCCTATTTTCAGTTATTAGATACATTCAATGTATCTTGATTTTAAATGCACAGAGCTTATGATGTTTCAGTTTAATTACTGATCACTGATCAACCCAAACTGGAAACTTAAACTTTCATTTTCATGTTTTACTTTGTCTGAACTGAATTTCAAGCTGCATGCGATTTCTGCAAAGGACTGCTGGATTCCTGACCCAACATTTCAGTACACTATCTTTGCTGCATTTTGACAGTGACTTGGTACTGAATCTTTCTCTTTTTTCTTTCTTTGCAAATCCCCTGTTGAGTGAGATATGATGGCAGCATCATAATTTTAGTAGCAACCGCAGAAGCTCCAAATTTCTCCATGATTGAAAATCCGGCTCCATCGCAAGGAACTGCTTTGCCTTTGTAATCCGTCAGAGAGAATGGAAGTGAGGATGGCAGGAAGAGACTTTTCAAGTGTTTTCAAACTTGCATGGAGGTGGAGGGCCATGCATAATGCAAGGCAAAGTTCTCAGGATGTTTGGCCAGACACAATAGAGAGCAAACTTGTAAGACTGTTTGATGCAGTACTTGCTGCAGCTGAATATTTTAGAAAGATGCAGAAATATTTCTATTCCTTTGGGGAAGCCAGTGCTGGGGAGAAATGCTCATTGCAGCTATACAAACCTCTCCAAGCAAGACCATTATGAGATCCTATTTCCCTCATGAAGATGTTTTCTATTACCTAACATTTGGATGCTTAAAATTCTGGCTCTTTATCATTTTGTGGTTTAAAAAGTTTTGAGGTGCTGCCAGGTGAGTCACTTTCTATTCCACTGCTGTAAAATGGGAACTGCTTACAGAAGATTTTTAAATTGCTCACTGGAATAAGATTTTTGAAGTTGAAAATACCTGAACACCAAGGGATGTCCATTAGTATATTGTCAAATGTTATTTTTTTCCCCAGTGTTTCTTATTGTAATGTTCAAATACCTTGCTTTTGGTTCTCTACAGACAACTTAAGAATTTAATAAACCAGTTATATGCATTGAAAAGGCTATGAGTAAGTCATGAGAAATCTTTCAAGTGCTTAAGAAACTAAGACAGGAAGGCTACAATTCATTTCATGAAAAGTGGGTTTCTTTGGCATCTGTAAGTGCTGAATCAATGAATGCAATTTAATCACAGCAGTGATGGTTGCCCATAAACCACAGGAATGACAGTCAGATTATGCTCAGGAAAATTGTCTAGACATGTCTTGGTAGCTTTTTAGTGTTCCTTGTGAAGTGACAACTATTGTGTAAAGAGTATTTTTACCTTTAAAACTGAGCTCAGAAGTTATTACTTCCCTTCCTTCTTCATCTCCCTGATGTGAATTAGCCAGCGTTCTTTGTGATGCATACCTCTTTGTGCAGGTCTCCGTGAGCAGCTTATCAACTTCTTTGTATGAATGTTTGTGTGTTAGCCTGAGACCTCTGAGAGGATGAGTGTCAGGTCTGTATCTCTACTGTCTGTCCAGGATGATGCCTAGTACAGAAAAGTTGCTCAGTGCATATGTGAGCAAAAATTTATCACGTGTTTCCAAGGTTTCTATCAGAGTGAAAATACCACTTTTGGTCATAAGATGATCTTTCCCCCTATAAAATGTTCCACTGAGACATTTCTCAGAGTCCAATATTCGTAAATACTTTTGTTTTCTTTGGAAGTTTCCTCCATTCTGAGAGCAAGAGGTATACAATGTACAAGATATGCCCCTCACCACTTTGTCTTCCAGGAAACTTGGATGTCAGCTTCATGCTCAATGGGGGTAAATTCATCTAATGCTTGGCTTATTTTCTATTATTTTTTTTCTCACACCTTTTTCTTTGTGATGCATACCTCTTTGTGCAGGTCTCCGTGAGCAACTTATCAACTTCTTTGTATGAATGTTTGTGTGTTAGCCTGAGACCTCTGAGAGGATGAGTGTCAGGTCTGTATCTCTACTGTCTGTCCAGGATGATGCCTAGTACAGAAAAGTTGCTCAGTGCATATGTGAGCAAAAATTTATCACGTGTTTCCAAGGTTTCTATCAGAGTGAAAATACCACTTTTGGTCATAAGATGATCTTTCCCCCTATAAAATGTTCCACTGAGACATTTCTCAGAGTCCAATATTCGTAAATACTTTTGTTTTCTTTGGAAGTTTCCTCCATTCTGAGAGCAAGAGGTATACAATGTACAAGATATGCCCCTCACCACTTTGTCTTCCAGGAAACTTGGATGTCAGCTTCATGCTCAATGGGGGTAAATTCATCTAATGCTTGGCTTATTTTCTATTATTTTTTTTCTCACACCTTGTTTTTATATTCCTGTTTGTAGATACTTATTTTTGTCTTTTTTCCTAAGCCAATCAAGGGAAAATGCAGATTTTGTGGGCCCAAAGCAAATACAAATCTGGGAGCTCTCTTTGAGAATATTAATTTCAAAGTATAAAATCATACTAGTTCAGATGGTAAAGAATCTGCCTGCAATGCAGGAGACCAAGGTTCAATCCCTGGGTTGGGAAAATCCCCTGGAGAAAGGAATGGCAACCCACTTCAGTATTCTTGCCTGGAGAATTCCCTGGACAGAGGAGCCTGGCGGGCTACAGTCCATGGGGTCACAAAGAGTTGGACACAACTGAATGACTAACACACACACATAAGACATAATTTCATCAGACATGAAATTAATGTTTTTATAGCTTAGAAGGAGTCTAGCGAGGGACCCTGTAATTGATGCTTCATTAGCTTAAGTCTATCTTGGAAATAATCTCAAAAACATTTGGGAAAGACAGATGATAGGTAGATACGAAGGAAAAAAGGAAGATATCAGATAAGCTAATTCAGAAAGAGTGGCAAAAAATGGAGAGCTGAAACGGAGCTAAGAAATAATCTCACTCAGCCCTTTCACTTTACAGAAGAGGAAATGGAAGGCACAAAAAGAAGCAAGGGCTTCATCCTATTTGACCCCTTTATAGTCAACACTGGCCCAGGTAATTCCTAATCCCTGTCTACTGAGACATTGCTAAACTTATACTGAGGAAATGAAACACAGGTACGAATGAGCTTTAAGGGAGGAATAGAAATGCTCCTTCAGTCAGAGACACACATAAACACTGAGTAAGCCAAAGGACCAAAAGAAGGTGAAGGTGCTAAGCTTGCTGTTGTTCAGTTGCTCAGTTGTGGCCGACTCTTTGTAACCCTACAGACTGCAGCAGGCCAGGCTCCTCTGTCCTCCACTATCTCCCGAGATAAGCTTGTAGGTACTTGCAATCTTTCCCGCCTCAACTAGTCCTCCCCACTACCATATTTTTTTTTTTTTAATTTTATTTGATTTTATTTTTTTTTTCCATTTATTAGTTGGAGGCTAATTACTTTACATCATTACAGTAGTTTTTGTCATACATTGAAATGAATTAGCCATGGATTTATTTAAATTTTTTCTTTTTAAGGAATTCTACTGCGG